AGGTTCTCTCAATGATTTATTCGCTGTTCTAATCTCTTCTTGATTTTTTTTTTTGGGGGGGGGGGGGGGGGGGGGTTAGGGGTAGGGGACTCAGAATTTAACTGTCTTACATCTTTACGTTATAATTTTATTTAAACTCTCTATAATTATTCTTCATATATGAAACCTAGACAGAAATTTCTGGTCTGGATTTTTTTATCATCACACCCGACACAATAGTTATGATGTCGTTTATATGATTTAAGTTTAAAACATATTTTTGCTGCAAGTTGTACGCCATTTTGAGAACAGCTGAAATTATGACATCACTAATTATATCATTAGTTACTCTATGGTATTTAATAATATTCCTGATATTTTGCAATATCATAATTTTAGATCAATATGCTTGCCTGTAGTTCTTTTGATATTTTTTATATCATGCTCAAAATTCAGATTACGCCCTCTTAGATGTGTGACATATATTGTGAAACACCCTGTACAAATCAGACCCAATAACTAGCATTTTCGAAATAATCAATGGTTTTATTTTTACTGTGCGGTAATAGGATTCAATTAATGTTAGGTGACGTTTCAAGCCGATTTCAAACCTCTTTTGCCTTCTCGCAGATCTAAATAGACTTTTTATCTATTTTCCAAGTTAAAAGTAATTAAGCCTGTCAAGACATGTAACTGCATGTATTTTATATAATATCTTTGGTTATGTTTCGAATATAAATTTCGATTCCAAATTTCGGTTATGAAATACTGTATACATAGCAAGAGTTGGAATAATTTCTCCTATGCGATAAAACTATGCAATTTATTTTTATATAAAAGCGATCTCCAAATACAGTAAAACTCGGTTATAACGAAGACGCTGGGACCTCTGAAATTACTTCGCTATATCCGTAATTCGTTATATCAATATATGGAATTTGTTAAATTTATAAAGCTGGGGATTCAAGACAACTTCGCTATATCCGTGAATTCGCATTATCCGTTTTCGTACTAAACGAGTTTTACTGTACAGTACTTTTAATGGAGATGTTCCAAATAGAATATGTATCAAAATGCGTAAACATTGCTTTAATCGACAATCTAGCTGCATCTTATTTGGAACATTTAAAGCAAAAAAAGATTCTTTGCGAAAATTTGAAATATACGCATTGTCTTTTGTGCTTATAACGAGAACACAGTAAAATTTGTCCAAGATTGTACGTTAAAGTTCAAAGTTTTTTGCAATGCTAAAATGTAGAACCTATATAATTCAAAATGTATTCATATTTGTTTTCAACAAATGTTTCCATTAATTTAGAGGATGAGTTTATGAAAGAAACAAGAGGCCCATGGGCCACATCGCTCAACTGAGTAACTTGGGTGATGCAGATCTTTACCAGATTCCCACCCTTGCTATACCTATCATGCCCAACAACCCCCTTCCCTTTTTTATTTTAAAAGTTTAGAATCTACACTACCCAAGGATGCTTCCACATAAGTTACAGCTTTCCTGGCCCAATGGTTCTTGAGAAGAAGATTTTTTAAGATTTGTTCTATATTTTTCTATGTAAAACTTGGAATTCCCTATTGTGGCCCCGCCCTACCCCCGGGGGTCATGATTTTAACAATTTAATATCTACACTACCAAAGGATGTTTCCATATAAACTTCAGCTTTCCTGGTCCAGTGGTTCTTGAGAAGAAGATTTTTAAAGATTTGTTCTATATATTTCTATATAAAACTTGGATTCCCTATTGTGGCCCCACCCTACCCCCGGGGGTCATGATTTTTACAATTTAATATCTACACTACGCAAGGATGCTTCCACATAAGTTTCAGCTTTCCTGGCCCAGTGGTTCTTGAGAAGAAGATTTTTTAAAATTTGTTCTATATATATCTATGTAAAACTTGAATTCCCTATTGTGGCCCCGCCCTACCCCCGGGGGGCATGATTTTAACAATTTAATATCTTCATAACCCAAGGATGCTTCCACATAAGTTTCAGCTTTCCTGGCCCTGTGGTTCTTGAGGAGAAGATTTTTAAAGATTTGTTCTATATATTTCTATGTAAAACTTGGATTCCCTATTATGGCCCCGCCCTACCCCCGGGGGGGGGGGGGGGGGCATGATTTCAACAATTTAATATCTTCACTACCCAAGGAATGCTTCCACATAAGTTTCAGCTTTCCTGGCCCAGTGGTTCTTGAGAAGAAGATTTTAAAGATTTGTTCTATATATTTCTATGTAAAACTTGGATTCCCTATTGTGGCCCAGCCCTACCCCCGGGGGTCATGATTTTAACAATTTAATATCTACACTACCAAAGGATGCTTCCACATAAGTTTCAGCATTTCTGGCGCAGTGATTCTTGAGAAGATTTTTTAAAAGACCCCACCTTATTTTTGTCTTTTCTTGATTATCTCCCCTTGTAAGGGGACTTGGCAATTCATTTTAACAATTTAAACTCCCCTTTACCCAAGGATGCTTTGTACTAAGTTTGGTTAAAATTGGCCCATTGGTTCTTGAAAAGAAGTCGAAAATGTGAAAACTTTACAGACGGACGGACGGACAGACAGACGGACGGACGACGGACAAAATGTGATCAGAAAAGCTCACTTGAGCCTTCGGCTCAGGTGAGCTAAAAAAGCTAAATAAGCAATTCTTTTGCTTGTGAAAATCTTTGCAATATGTCGGACCTTATTGACTTTTGTACAAATTTCTGTCGCATATGTGATACACTGTACCCCACTAACAGCTTTTGTATTAGATCTGTGATAATTTTCAAACTGAATAAGCATTTCATGAAACCTGTGTCTAATCAAATTGATCATGAACGAAAGATTACATCATTTGAAGTGTCAAAAGCGAGTAATATATCAGATTATTTCATGAAAGCAGTTCATTTTTGTAAGCAAATATTCCCATTTAATGACTCAAAGAAACCTAAGATTATGCTGTTAAAATCTATTAAAGCTGAATCTTTTTTAAGGAGGAACAGGACCATTCGCTGAAAAAATTCCTGTCAATGAATTTTTTTCGAATTTATTATGTTTCTAATTTAATATGTACTTAACATTTTAAAATGGTCCTGTCATGGGATTTCTTGAATTATTTAAAAGATATCGCCCCACAAATACCGCCCTGTTTTGAGTTTGTATGGAGTTTAGATACTTTATGTTTATGGGCCCATAACGGAGTTCATAATGCGAATTTTTACGCACAAACGATAAATATGATAGACAAGAGGCCCAAGGGCCTTGAATCGCTCTCCTGATAAATTGTACAACCTATCACTTGTATTTGAAGCCTCTAACCCTAAGTATCCTAAGACCAAAGTTGCACCACCTGACAAAGTTTGATGATTCTTGGCCAATTAGGACTACTTCTTGGTCTACATTCTTGGAAAACCAAAAATGCATCAACTTACACAGTCTGAATATTCTAAGCCAATAAATACCTAAGATACCTAAATATAGCCATAAAATGTCGAAAGTAGGTCACTGTGACCTACTTTTTGGTCGACATTCTCCGAAAACCCAAGATGCATCAATTGACAAAATGTGATGATTCTAAGCCAATAGGTACCAGAGATACTTAAATATAGCCATAAAATGTCGAAAGTAGGTCAACATGACCTACATTTTAGTTTACATTTTTCAGAGTCCAAAGATGCATCTGCTGACTAAGTTTGATGATTCTAAGCCAATAAATACCTGAGATATTCAAAAGTAGGTCATCGTGACCTACTTTTTAGTCGTCACTCTCCGAAAACCCAAGATGCATCAACTGACATAGTTTGATGATTCTAAGCCAATAAGTACCGGAGATACGTAAATACAGCCATTAAATGTCAAAAGTAGGTCACCGTGACCTAATTTTTGGTCGTCACTCTCCGAAAACCCAAGATGCATCAACTGACAAAGTTTGATGATTCTAAGCCAATAAGTACCAGAAATACTTAAATATAGCCATAAAATATCAAAAGTAGGTCACCGTGACCTAATTTTTGGTCGTCACTCTCCAAAAACCCAAGATGCATCAACTGACAAAGTTTGATGATTCTAAGCCAATAAATACCTAAGATACTTTAATATAGCCATAAAATGTCGAAAGTAGGTCACCGTGACCTAATTTTTAGTTGTCATTTTCCAAAAACCCAAGATGCATCAACTGACAAAGTTTGATGATTCTAAGCCAATAAGTACCGGAGATACTTAAATATAGCCATAAAATGTCAAAAGTAGGTCACCGTGACCTACTTTTTGGTCGACATTCTCCGAAAACCCAAGATGCATCAACTCACAAAGAAATTTACGATTAAATGTCAGTCCTTCATCGTAATTATTTACTGCATAAATATCACAGGGTGAAGCTTACGTCAATATTGCACAGGACATAGTTGAATTAGACATAAGCATGATAAAAACGCTTCACGTCTGTATTTTCCGAGTGCGGGAAATCAATTGTGACGTCACACGAAAAACATAAACATTCAAAATTATCTAAATAGAGAGAATCTTTGCTACTAAACACGAAAAAATATAATTAAAAAAAATCTGCTTCAGAAATTTATCACGGTACATTGACTGTGACCCGTTTATTATGAAATAAAATGATCATGACGGGTGTGTGTAGTTCATCTCGCTGCACTGAGAATTCAAACACTACGTCTATGACGTCACTGACGTCATACTGCAGGGTAAAGAGAAACAATTGTGTGGATTGGGCAACTTCACAATATCTAAACGATGGCAAGATCTTTAAAAATTTTATTGATAATAATTTCTAAAATTAAATGTTTAAAAAACAATTTTAGAATTTAGAATAAAATTTTTCAAGAACTGTTGATTTTAACAACGTTTAACATGTATATCATCACCGATTATGATGTAATATGTCTTTTTAGTCATGTGACATGTGCCCTGTCTCCCCTTAAGTAAAAAAACAAAACAAAAAATTAATGATAAGTACATAAAGGTCCAAATGTCTTTTGTTATCCATGATAAAACAAGAATTTCTTACCAAGAATATGCTTAAGGTTCTAACATCATGGTCTTCTGCGTGTGCGTGAAGGGGGCATTTGTTCCCGTTGTATACAAACAAATTCTTCTCTGTCATAAAAGTGTTATCTAGCTCTTTACCAAACTCTTTAGGTGTACAGCTATATCCAACTTCATAATGAAGGTCGACGTTAAATGTATTTGTTAGAGAAGACAGTATCTTCATTACTTGTCTTTTAACTTTGCTAAAGGCCCCTTTAATCGATTCTTCTTTCATCTGATCATCATCATTATACAATAACAACTGTATATAACTCTCACTTACTCCTAAAACCAGAACGTGCTCTTGATAATAAAACATAGCAATGTCAATATATACACATTTTCTTTCGTCCATCAATGGTTTCCATTCTGACTTTAAACAAAGCACAATCAGCCTGTAGAAGAGAAATACAGGTAAAACAGGGAATCTGATGTACAGAGTTGGAGACTTGTTGGGATTTGAGTGAATCTTTGATTTTACATGCTTCGGAACTTTCATTCTATTCATGCTTGGAATAAAACATATATCTGATTTTTCTTCTATCGCGATGAGACCTAATCGTTGCATGTATTTCATCATATCATCCTTGTATTCCACTGCAGTTTGATTTTTTGTAACTGTCCAGATTGCTTTTAAGAATGTGCCTGAGATCTCTCCTGTTGTTGTAAATGTATCTAGCGCCTCTCTAGTGGGAGCTGCATCTATTACTTTGTTGAAACTGGCTTGTTTTGAATCAGTCATTACATATTTAAATGAATTGACAAACCACTGAATATCAAGGATAACTATTTCAGGACTATTTCTCACTGGGTCTTCAGATGAAAAATATAGAATAACACCAATGTCATGATAAAAGCGTAATAAGTCTTTGAATTCCTGTTTGCTTATAAGTAGCAATTTATCAAATGATTCCTTTAATTTGTCCAGTTTCTGAAGCTTGGTCTCTTTTTCTTCTGAAATGAATTTTTCAAATATGGCCCAATCAAAGGGTATCTCTTCTCCCCACTGTTTTTGTGACGTTAATACTTCCACAATGTTTTTTTCTAATTCATCCAGACTTTCAACACATGCTCCACCATGCTCTTTGAGACTTAATGTAAAATATCTATCGCTGGACAAGTGTCTTTTAATTGTCGAAGAAACAGGGAACGTCTTGATAAGTTCTTGGTAATATTCCGTCTTTTCCTTAAAAATGTTATTTCATATATGAATCGTTGTGTTGTTCGTAGACTTCAAATAATTTTTAAAAAATAAAATCGTCATGGATGATTTTTAAGTGTGATTAAGGTAGTCCGATCCTTGGGTTTATAAAATTAGGTGTTAAGAAATCAAAATTACTCATAAAAGTATCTCTAAATTCATTAAGTTATGTAAATTTATCCACAATCATTGTTTAAAATGAAAATTAATCATGTCATATACCGTAAATCTGGAATTTTTTACTGTAGATAAATTTTTAGCAAATTTGCGCGTGCATTTCATTCGCAAAAATATTTTTCTCAAAAATAAATCAACATGTGAAGATTTTTTTTCTGAGGACTCGTGTTTTTTTTTAACTCAGTGAATAGGCGTCGGTAAGCACTGGTCATTTTTAAAAGAAACCTGTTTACACTAGTCTACTATATAACTACAACTTAATTACCCGTGCGTGTAAATTGCCCTCATTATATGCAATATCGTCCGATGATTTGACAAGCACTGAGGCGGTATGCCCCTTTTTAATTATTTTCATCAATTAATTTGCCAATAAAGAGAGAACTTCATTTTATCTTACCGTGTATCAACACGGACGATAACTCAAACACAGTGCATTTACTAGAAAGTTCCAAATGTAAATGCGGCGTGTAAATTTTAGGTGAGAAAAAAAGAAACGTTGAGAAAACAAGTTAAATTTTTTCTTCATTTGGATTATACTTTAGGTCAAAAGGCATACACAACCTCTAAAATGTTTGTTATAATTAATTTAAAAATTATTTTCAGTGCAAATTTTTTTGCATTTTTATCAAAATTGTTTCGGAGCGATTTTGCAATATCTTGCCACGTTGTGAAAATGTTGGTGGTATTGTAACTTGGCATATTATTTGAAACATAACCTGATCTGAAAATTTTCAGTGATTTTTATTTTAAGCACCAGTGACAATTCGCAAAAATTTGAAGCGTAAAAATAAATCAACAGCTTTTTGACCAAAATTCGCAAAAATAAATCGACGTAAAAATATTCAGATTTACGGTAGGGAAAATTGTCAAATCTCCAATATTTTGGCAGAAAAAGCGAATTGGAATATCAGCAATGTATTTTCTAATCGCAAATCGATCGAAATATGTATTATAGGTTTAAAACGATAGGTATCTGGGCATTCAGAGAAATTGTCATTATTTTTATACTTATTTGGTGTTTTTTGTCTTCTATTTTCGCCATGTATTTTTTGATACATAGTGTAAAAGGCTTTTGCTAACATTGCAAGACACCACAAATCACTTCTCATTTCATATCATGCTAATAAGCATTGGTATCTAAGGCTGGATTCAATAAAATCTTATTTCTCTAAAACTGTATTGATTTTTTTTCCTTTTATATGGTACAAATATCAGTTTTTAGAAGAGCTTTTCTAAGACTTCCAAAAACCTTGAATCTTAAAGAAATAGATAAAAAGAAAATTGTTGCATAAAAAAATCCATTTTAAAGCTTCATTTTTATGGAATTAAAAGTAAATATGAATTTTTGGAGTTATCCTTCCTGGCTGAGGATCGGATATCCTTAAGAAACGGCTAGGGACATACCTGCTCCGATTTCCCCTCTGCGTGAGTAGCTACAAGGATAACAGGGGCTTCATCTCCACAGTAACAGTTTACAGATTTCAACCAAAACAGAAGATAATCTGCAAGAAAATGTTTTTCACAAAACTTTGTATATAAAACTTTTTCAGACTATACTCTAATCATTATTCATTGTTTGGAATTAAAACATTATTCTGATCATTAAATGATGAATTTTAAATCAAGCTTTGCTTGTTTTTTATGGCAGTTTCTTTTTAAAAGTTCTTTCAAATTATTTATTTTATCGTATTATTTTATTGTCTGTCTAATTTTTCAAGCGTGATTTGTAGCATCAGTCTGTATTGGGTATAAAAGAAAACTGTTTTCGGGTATTGCATTTACAAAAAATATACAGAAACAAGACAAGAAGTTAGTGTAATCGTTGTAAGATTGTGGGATATTGAATGTGCACTTAACGAGGTCATATTCGAATGCACATCCATGAAACGTTTAAGGGTTTGAAAATATGTTTTTAAGACAAAACAATGACTTTAAGAATGTCACTGTTTTCCGGCTTGGTAAGTAATTTATGACGCTGAAGAATGACGCATGACTCAGTTCAGTATTTTTAAAAAGGTCTTTTCATATTTTGCCTAAAACTTTTGAAAGAAATGTAAAAAAAAAAATACCTGCAATTGAAACATTGTTAATCATATAAAACTTAATTAATTTTCGAAGATATATACTGCAATATGGCAGATTTAGAGGTATTGGGCATTTTAAAATAAATCTTGTAATAATTCCCTCGACCACACGGATAGTCAACATTTTTGAAAGAATGACTGCACTTAAGCTACAAGAGTTGGATCCCGATGTTTTGCGCAAAATAAAATTCCAAAATTCGTTAAATTTATGTTTTATTTTTAAGGTAAAAAATATTGCTCAGGATAGAGGGGCCTGGTGGAATCTTGTTAGCGGCCTATGCCCTCTAAAGGGGTAGCAGGCATATGTAAGTAAGTAAACAAGGTCTAAAGAGCAGGTTTTGGTATATTAAATCACATGAAATTATTAAATAATGCCGAGCGACATTAGCTTTTGAGACGGGAGTCTAACAGTTTTGTCACATTTCTATTGTTATTCATATACATACACTAGTTTTCAACGAAATTGTTTACATCGAGCCGCAACTTGGCCATTGGTCTCATTTGAACAGAATATGTATTTTATACATATCCAAAAGAGAATGATGGCCAATTTGCGGCTCATACTAAGTATTTAATTGAAATGGGTAGCGAAAAGGTTCGTTCCAAATGACGTACTTAAGTGCACTTATTCTTAAATGAATGTACAGTATAATAATAAGACTAAGAAATATATGTATGGGTAGTTGAAATTTTAATATTTTAAATACAATATATGGTCATTATTCTTTGAATTCACCGCAAATAAGATTTAAACGTTACACTCAGGTTGATCAATAAAAGTTGTTGTTATAAAATGATATATTTATGCCGAGGGATGTCAAATCGGTCAATATTTGATAATCGGTTACTCGAACGTTTTTCCGATCTAGTACCCGGGTACTCGGTAAAATTGTAAATATCTGTACATTTTTAAACTCAGTTAAGCTGTGTTAAACCCCAATGCTGTTTTTATTACGGTTTAGTGCATGTTTTAAAACAAAGAGTCCAACAAAAATGATTCATTGTACGTAATGTATTTATTTAAAAACGAAAGACATCAATTTGATACACAAAAATTACAAATGATTTATAATTTTTTTGTTTGGGAAGACGCTTTAATCTATCTGCTACGCCTCTATGTAATGATCACACTAACGAAACAGAAGGAACGGACATTGTTGGGATCGCTTGTCATGTATTATTATTGTATACCCCATATAAGCTAAATTTACTCCGGCTAGCTGACTTTAAACATTTTTTTTTCAATCTTCAATTACATGTATTACCAAAAAATTTCTTAACATTTTTAAGTCGGTAGCGGCATACCTACGCATGTCAGATTTCGGTACCGTTTACCAAATAATTTAAAAATAATTAAAAGATAACAGAACAGACTTAAGGTAGGTCGCGGGTTTACTGCATAAAAATTCTTACGAGAAAACATATCCTGAAAATTTGATATAATGTTCCCGGGAATTCAATGCGTATTATCTGCAATTTTTATAAAATTTGCCTAAGTAGTTTTAATGCTATATTACTATAAACGCGGTATTGTCATTAGTACATTTTTTACGCTTTACTATTGAAATATATGGAAAAATGACGTTTTTAAGCCAATTTTGTGAAAATAGTTTCTTTTAAAAAGGTTGGATAACTTTTTAAAGACGTAGACGAATTAGTCAGGAATTTCAAAATGTCAAGATGAGGTAAAATCAAAACTATTAATATAAAAAAATCAATATGTCTTCTCGCTAGATTTTTCGCTAAAAAATTTTAAAGTTCCCTTTTATATTGCTGAAATGTTGCGTTTATGGCGTTATTTATGTCTTCAATGTCATTTGTTGAACGTTGTAACGTTTACCGTACGAATATAAATATTTTGACATTTGGAATAAACAAGATCTAAAATATGTCATAAACTCAAAATCTAATTTTATTCATCATTTAACTTATTGCGAAAATGTATTAGGATGATCAGCAACTTTTTTCACTAGTATTGTGAATTTCATATTCTAATCACAGAGTCGGAATGAAGGGTACATGTATAAACATTCTCGTGCATGAGAATTAACATGCATCGACAACATCGCGAGTGATAAAATATGAGTTCCTGTATTTTTAGGAAATTCATGGTGGAAAGGATTTCAGGCATAACACAAAAATTTGATCACTTTATTAAAAAAAACGGTAAAGAAAAAACTTCCAGATACTGGGGAAATTAGCCGGGGTGGGGGGGGGGGGTATTTGCAATTTTCTTTCTATATATATTAGACGCAAGCTAGTACATGAACCTAACTCTTAAACATTTGTTAATTACGAATTCTCTTCATCAAATTTCCATGCACAAAATGTAAAATACATATACTTGAATTGAGCTTTTACACTTTGACAATAGAGCTTTTGTTTAAAACTTTTAATAATAAAAAAAGATACTTGTTAATTGTTTACAGCTTCATATAGGTCTTACAGGTGTGTGCATAAATTTGATTTTTGAAAGCATCTCAAAATTTATCAGCCAGTAAAACAAGGTGACTGGATGAAATTTAGATACATAATAAGTAACCAAACAATACTTAATAATAATGATGATGATGATGAGAAAAAAAGGAAAATGCATGTATTAAATTCAATCCGATTTTAGTGTTGAGGATTGATCCCATCCTGAAAATTATACGCATATTTTCGCCCTAACTTTGATTAGCAGTCATGATGCAATACGCATGTTCCCCCAGTTGCAAATAACGTGCGCAAATACAACCCCTAAAGTTTTCCGCTAAACAATTTTATTTTTGATAACTTACTTTCTGCATATCATAACTTTCATGCCGACTTATTCTGATTGACTTTTAGCAGTTTAGTAATACTAACAATATAAATTATTCCTTTCATTTTGTATTGTATTTATTTTTTTCTAGGGCATTACATATATTAGTAATCACATGAGAGTTCAGACTGAAATTTAATTATAAAACATGTACGGGGTTTACGTACAATAGCATGCACTTTTAATCTACTTGATATGTACTAACTTGAAGTTATTGGCAGAGATTTAAGCGGGAAACAACGCAACGTTGCCTTTGTGACGTAACTGACGTCATAATCAAATGTGCACAAAACAGCCGCTCGAATCGTCAAAATTGTGTACCAAAATTGATGACAAAAGCAAAAATTGGTCACTAATTACTGTATATATACAATCACTGGCGATAACGGTTGTTTTACAGGTGTAGTCGACGGTACTCTAATTATTGTATGCACAAAAGTGAATATTTGATGAAAGTTTTTGGGATAAATATTTGTACTTTGAAATAAGAAAAAGTACACATCCAAGTAACCGAGTACTAGTTTTAGTATTCGATACTCGGACGTTCGATCGAGTACCCGCTTTACCGGGTACTCGTTGACATCCCTAATTTATGGAGATTTCTCTTACCCCTATGGCTCCATTTTGAAAACATTGTATCCTTCAAATCGCACAGCTCTTCATCTATGCCTTCTTTCAAGGTTTTGGACATGTCAACTACCAGAATGTAGAATGCTCGTTTGCTGAGGTAGATCTGATGACAGGCGTAATACATGCACTGTCCTCCAAAATCCAAGATACTTAGAAGCCTTTTCTCTTCTACCTTTTCTGTATCATCAATCGGAACATTTTCTTTTATATGGATTGCAGGCTCGCATTTACGCACAGCAACTTAAAATTGAAATATTTAAAAGAGCTTAGTTTAGTATCTGTTGCAACATACAGTATTTTCATATTGATGTGATTTTATAACAAGAGGCCCATGGGCAACATTGCTCATCTGAGCACAATGGCTACACAAACTTGAATCTACACTACCTGAGGAGGCCTCGATATAAATGTGATCAGTTATGGCTTTGTTATTCTTGAGAAGAAGATTTTAAAAGAATTTTTCTATATTTTTCTATGTAAACTTTCGTCGGCAATTGTGACCCCGCCCTACGCCCGGGGGTCATATTTGAACAAACTTGAATCTACACTACCTGAGGAGGCTTTCATATAAATATGATCAATTATCGCTTTGTTATTCTTGAGAAAAATTTTAAGAATTTTCCTATATATTCCTATGTAAAACTTTGGTCGGCCATCGTAGCCCCGCCCTACCCCCGGGGGTCATGATTTGAATAAATTTGCTTCTACACTAGCTGAGGATGCTTCCATATAAATATGATCAATTATGGCTTTGTTATTCTTGAGAAGAAGATTTTTAAAGAATTTTCCTATATATTCCTATGTAAAACTTTGGTCGGCCATTGTGGCCCCGCCCTACCCCCGGGGGTCATGATTTGAACAAACTTCAATCTACACTACCTGAGGATGTTTCCCCATAAGTTTCATCTTTCCTGGCACAGTGGTTCTTAAGAAGAAGATTCTTACAACATACCACCAAATTTTCTTTAATTCCTAAGTATCTCCCCTTGAATGAGCGCGTGGCCCTTCATTTGAACAAACTTGAATCCCCTTAACCCAAGGATGCTTTGTGGAAAGTTTAGTTGAAATTGGCCTAGTGGTTCTTGAGAAGAAGTCGAAAATGTGAAAAGTTTACAGACCAACAGATGGACGCCGAACAAATTGTGATCAGAAAAGCTCACTTGAGCCTTCGGCTCAGGTGAGCTAAAAAAAAACTACAAGTGCAGATACATGTACCTGTACAAAGAGTTAAGTTAATGTGATGTTATTATTTTATTGTTTTGAAATGTAAGTCAAGCCTTGCTGTATTCTTTTTTGAAAATATTTAGATAAAAAATTCATATATTTGAAGATTACTGACTGTTGCGTTTCAGTATATATCGCAAGATTTTTTTTAGTTTTTGATTTATTGTTCAAGAAAAGCTTGTACAAAAAAATACTAAATTTATCAAATAAATATCAAAATACGTGTCTCTCTCTCTCTCTCTCTCTCTCTCTCTCTCTCTCTCTCTCTCTCTCTCTCTCTGTCTCTCTCTCTCTCTCTCTCTCTCTCTCTCTCTCTCTCTCTCTCTCTCTCTCTCAAGATAACTCATTTGATATGCATGATTTTCACAGATTTTTAACCTTCTAGTTTTCCTTCGTTTTCCAGTACTTCAAAAATATCATTGTGCACATCTAGTCCCACAGTAGACGTGATTTTCTGTATATCTTCTAGTGATTTTCCTTGCAGTCTTTCTAATAAAGTTGTTTTTCCAGCTCCCACACAACCCACTATCATAGCCCGTGCTCTATATATGGGTGTTTTTCCTTTTTTCAAGTACTCTAAGTATCGACTTCGGGCATCTAAATCCCATTGCAATACCTCTTCAGGTATTTTCACTGAAAATAGAAAACTATATCTACAGAGGTTTTACTTCAAGTTACTGGCTGTCAATCCATTTTCAAATTTCATTAATTTTACTGTGCAGTGCATCCTTCTCAACAGTATTTAGAAAAAAATTAGTTAAACAAACAGATTTATGTTTTGTCCCAAAACATGTATTATTATTTTATAGGTTGCTAAATCTATGCAAAGTGGGATTTTTCGCTCTAACTAACATGGCTTGCAAGTTCAGCTATGAAGAAGAAATTATTTTTCTATATATTTACATTATGTGAATCTTGAGATACATTTAACCAATTCCAACTTTAAACCAGGATCCCTACATTGCTAAATACCGTAATCAACCCATCTTAGCCTTTGATCCCCTATTGATGCGGAAGGGGTGAACAACTTATGATTTACATTTTAATAGTAATAATTTTTTATTCTTCTATTCATTCTGATGCTGTTATTCTTGAAAAAGATGATTTTAAAGATATTTCTGAATATTTCAAGAGAGTGAGAAAGAAAGAGATAACATGAAAAGAAAAGGCTGGGTACTTACACTGGCCTGAAATAGTTGAATGCAATGATTTATCATCCAAGATGTCATGAATGAGTATTTCTCTTCCAAGCTTAGAAATAATTCTGGTAAAAAAATCCTTATAACTGGTCATTTTTCCAAAAGAAGGAGATAAGGAAAAGCGAACAAATTTCCCTTTTCCATTGAAATTTTCCGACCTAAAATACTTTGCAGAACTCTCTAGTGACACATTAAGTAATAGCCTCTTAATGTCCTCGTCCTGGTCATTGATTTTGCTCTTCTCCCAACATGTGTGTAAATAATCAAACATTGTCTCGTCTTGTACACAATCTGAAGTAAATGTCACTTTTTCTTTCTCAATGGATACGAATCCTTTCAATTGCAATGCTTGAATACTCTCAAATATGTTCTTTGAATCGTATTTTGTCCCACAAACTTCATATAATTTTTCTTTTATTGTTCTTTTGTTTTCTAAAATAAAGGTATTGTTATTGCTACAGAGGAGGAGAAATAAAGCAGCGCGTTCCTCAGATGACAACTGCTTGTATTTTTCTACAAAAAAGAACAAAAGTTATTCATGAATTAAGAGACAGTCCGCCGAAAATCAGGCAGGATTGTATTAATAGGCGGCACATCGAATGTGTGAATATTTGAAATTTTATTTTATTGAAAACAATATCAATGTAGTCCAAATGGAATAATGTAATCTAAGATTTTTTTGAAAATTTCTTATTTAGTAAAATATTCCTTTGTTTTGTGTTCTTATTCCCCTATATAAACCATTGAATTTAGGTCAGAAACAACGAACTGTAATTTCCAATACATATTTATCAGGAATATTATTCATGCTGAACTAAATCTATAAATATTTCATCTTTCAGTTTCAAAAATAAAATTGGTGGGCAAAACACTTTTGATAGTTTTCTGTCAAAATATATGGACGTTTTTATGAAATTTTGCGATGTAAGAGTTATCTCGCGTGGCATCGGTAAATCTTCTAAATATCTTACTATCGAAATCCTAGTGCAATATCTAGAATATATACACAAAAATACATTATTAAACAAAAAATTACTACTTTATTTTCAAATTAGAATTCATTTTCGCCTCCAAACATAATATTTAGATTAAGATCGGCAGTATTATTCAGGTTGAATCCATGTTTCCATTGATGTATCAGTGACGTCATATACCTGAATAATATTGCGTCACAATTAAATTGTTACGAGGGTTGATCCAAAAGTAATGTCACAGTGTTCATATCTTTTATATTTGGCGTCATAGTATCAAAAACAATATACCAAAAGATGCACAGATATAAATCTAATTAACATTGAAATTTTAATTTAATAATGTTTATTTGAATTTATTTTATAGATGTTTAAATCACAGAGCATAGGGGGTGTCGCCGCGTCACAACGGAACGTCGCGTTTTAAAGTGTATTTTTTAGAATGAAAAAGACAAACACATAAGATTCTAAAAAAGCACTTAATCTCTAAATTTTTTAAAAGACGCGTTTTTAATGACACGCCATTTTCTAGTCTTTAATTGAAAATTAAATGACGGCATTGGTATTTGTGATCACAAACATTGTTGTTTTACTCTGTTGAATTGAACAAAAGGATTGTCCAAATGGGAAAAAACGGCTCGACGACTTGTAATGCATTTGTTGCTTCTAAATATGGGAATCATCTCAGGAGACAATAACATTAATTAATCAGACTTACAGAATAAAGAATCTAAATAAGAGACATCTTAATTAGCAATTTCTGCAATTTTGGGCGGGTTATTGGTCACTGAATGATCAGCAGAGGACAAAAAGACCGAAAGATAGGAAATCGGACGGAAACGTTTAATGGTGTCTGACGTCAAAAAAGACAGACGTATAGAGTGGCATGCACATGTGAATTTCTAAGTTTGTCTTTGCTACTGTTCAAATAATTTTGACAGAGGGCTTAATAATGAAACGAGTGAGTGTATAATGGTACCGAGAACTCTTAAAAAAGTGAAACTGGTGAAAGTGTTTGCGAGTTACAAATATTTTTTTAATGAAACGAAGGGGAAACGCTTAAAAGTATGACGGTGCGTATCCGTCATATGACGTTATATTTAGGTGCGGCGACTACCATAAACGCACATTGTTTAAAATCCGATATTTTGGAAAGTAAACATCATGTTCCTTTGAATTTTTGTTATGTCTGATTTGAGATAAATAAAGCTTTCATCATGTATAATTTTGTTGCTTTACGTCGATTTATAGCAATTTTATCCAAGTTGTGACATTACTTTTGGATCAACCCTCGTACAAGTTTTCCAAAGATGTTTGTAAATTCTTTGCATAAAAGCGCAAATAAAACAATTAAAAATAAATAATTTCTCTTTTTCTTTTCAATTACCATGATTACTCTTCAGAGTGCATTATCCTACATGTTACATTTTCAGATATTTTTATTTAAATGTGATTTTTTCACGGGCGACGTCTCATCTAGAAGTTCCTTTTGATAAGTAATGTTGTACATGTCCGAGAACTAATTTTCTAAACTGATTTACTAGGCTATGCGTAAAAATAATTAATTGTTTATATTGAATATTTCTTATAAAATTGGAATGTGAACTCATGAGAGATTTTGTTTTCTTCTGATTACCAAGGAAAGATGAATATTTTAGATTTATGCAACATTTAATTGAAGTCAACGGAGTTGAGATGTTTATTTCATGCTTTTTGTAAAAAAAAAAAAAAAAAAAAGAAAAAAGAAAAAAAAAAGAAAAACTTGATTATATTTATCTATGCAAACGATCCGCAGTACGATTAAAACATTTTATTAAAAAAGTGAAAAATAAAATTTAAAAAATATTTATTGAGGAAAATTACTGTTGAACTCCCCACTTCAATTTGCCAATAGAACGGAAGATTTCGTGGGCGTATTTTTTTGTTTTGTATTGTTTTTGTTTGGTTTTTTTTTAATTTGGTGATTGAAACAATAACATACTTACATTCAATATGAAGTTAAAACATGTGACCATGTTGGCCAATTCTAAAATGTTTCCCATTATTAAACGAAAGTTGTTTTTTTAATATGCCGCCTTGCCCACCCCCACCTCCCCGCCCCCGCCCCCGCCCAAGCTTTTTGCTTGCGATTTGTAGGCTCTTAAATAATGATACTATATATGGATAAACTTATTTTCTTATTAATATAAAATTAAATTTTATAAGATGAAAATATAGGGAAAACGGCTTTTATAAATGACAGGTTTAAAAAATTTGGATGAAGCCGAGACTGTGCACTTTTAATATTTTCTGCATTTATGTACGTGCAAGTATATTTTCACAGAATTTAACTCTTTAATTCACGAGAGAATTAAAAAAAACTTCAGTTGCAAATAAGATATTTTATAAAGATATGCTGTTTACTCTCAGTTGTTGCATAATGCATGTACAAATACTTGTTTTTTTAATACCGAGTATCAAAAAATCGAACAGATGTTATACATGATTGTAATCTTCATGTACGTAAAAGACATTAGTATTTTAAAAACATTGTATAAACATTTGAATTCATGGATAAAATAATTTTAAAACAGTTGACTAACTGAACAGAAATAAAAGACTAGATGCTGTCATGAGACAATAATACCCGCACTAAGGTGTTTGCCTCTAAATGCACACTTCTTCATATTAGGCTTTACCAAGGAAAAAGTCAATATAATTCAATAATTTACATAATACATGTATTCATCAAATTGAGCATAATATGCTCAGGTGACCATGTAGCTGCAGATCTGGCTTTATATATTTGTCTTTGATCATAACGCTACAGATCCCGATATGCAAAAGAGGTGCAATTTACGCGCAATATTTTTTTAGCACTTTTGGGCAGAATTTCTCCACTTTCTAGCATTAGTCAATCAACTACCTTTCACTCCCTAATTTTAGACACATTCTCTGGCCAATATGTATATTTTGTCCACCTCCCAGCCATTTATAGTAATCTCTACAGGCAATAAACTCGCTTGAAGTGAATTTTCAGTTATCTAACAAATAATTTTAATCCAGCGAGTTTATCACTTGTAGAGACGACTATAAAGGGTTGGGAGATGGATAAAATATACAGATTGATTAAATAATGTGCCTAGAATTAGGGATTGAAAGGTAGTAAAATGACCGATGCTGGAAAGTGGAGAAATTCCCCCAGAAGTGCGCAAAAAATATTGTGCCGTAAATTGCACCTTTTTTGCATTACAGGATCTGCAGTCGAAGACTAATATATAAAACCATAACGCTACAGATCTGCAGCTAGTGACCATATGACCCATGGGCCTTCATTTTATAGGTATTTCATATTCTTAATTCATTACCAGTCGGAAATTAAACTACAGAATTAAATTAATGATGTAAATTAGGTTTGATAAGGGGGGGGGGGATTTGGCACATAATTGGAACTTTTTAAATCTATTTTCTCATATAGATTAACAACAAATAATATTATTCAAATTAGTGTTAAGCGTTTTTAATGAATTTTTCAATATTTGCAAAGTTTATTTATATTTGATAAGGCAGAAACTTCTTGAAAGCTGCCATATACACAATCAATTTAATAGTCAACCCCCACCCGTCTCCCATCAACACACACACACGAACACACCTTATTTGTCTGTGTTTGCAAATAGGCCTAGATTGCAAAGCTAAAATAAAACATCTTTTGTAAATGATAATTTTCAATTTGTTCTTGCACTATACATGTATCTGAACACCTGCATCACATTGGGCTTCAATCGGATCACCTCGCCCTTTTCCGTCGCACGCTAGAAAATTTTTTTTATAGCGTGCGACGGAAAACGGCGAGGTGATCCGATTGATTGGGCTTGCGTCACGTACCCAACTTAAGTACTAGTTTTACCATTGGCATTATCATTTTAGATTTCACTGCACGTGCAGTAGGATACTAGTGTGCATATTTGCATATATGTCGGTAGGAATTATTTCATTTTGTGTTTTAACTGGATTATATTTCATGAAGATGACAGGGCCTAAATAATAACAATCGGTAAGTACAAGTTTTGGTATAGATTTGGGTAAAATAGTCTGAAATGCAAACGGTTAGGTTAAAGTTTAAAGGATCAAAGGTCATCCGATGCTACAATAGACAAATTTCACATTCTGAAGAGTTATCCCCCGTTATCAACGTTACATTTCGTTACAAGATCCAGAATTTTTTTTTTCTGGGAGGGACGGGGGGTGGGTGGGTTCCGGACCAGAATTTCCTTGAGAAGCAAGAAAAAAAAGAAGTTATGGTTTGGTCTGTTTTCTAGGGTGGAGGGACACTTAGGGCATCCAAAGTCATTTTTATTTCCTCCAGTATATATTATAGTCCTGCAAATTCCGGGGAAGAGGGGGGGGGGGTGTTGAGGGGGCGATCTCCCAAACCACTTCCCTGTCCCTGTAAGGACAAATGATCATGTGACTCTTAAATAGTAGGAAACTTTTTCCATTTGACTATACAAAATATTGTTTCTTGTGTTATTATGTTATGTAAATTTAATGGTATAAAGG